TGCAACAGTTAGACAAAAAAAGGGCTCATACATAATGCAGAACTGATCTTGCACAACACTGTTTACAATGGTGTTAAAATGGTCCTGTTTATCTCTCAGCTGAGTTCTGAAACACTTCAGCAGACGGGTCTCCCTAGGGTCAGCACCCTGATTATGTTGGGCTTCCAGAGAGAAAAGCCAGCACAGACATCAAAATGCACCAAAGATTTCAGTAGTGAAGTCCAAAGTCAGTTGCCTTTTCCATTGTGCCCTCCCAGCAGCTTTTTCCAGTTCTATTGGTTTTTGAGAGGATTTTTAAGTCCCTGAATCTTCATGAGATCCACTGTGCATGAGGGCAACCAAGCCATGCAACAGTTAAGAGGAGTGATAGGGATAAAGAGATACCTAGAGAAAGCAAAGATGTAAATGCTGTTTTTTTTTCTTTCTTTTTCTTTTTCATCAGCCAGATCAGCCCCACAGTGCCAGAGAAGTGGTGACAACGCAGCCACACCATACCTTAGAATCACAGAATCATAGAATTGCTCAGGTTGGAAAAGACCTTCAAGATCATCAAGTCAACCACAACCTAACCATACCACCCTAACTCTAACAACCCTCCACTAGATCATGTCCCTGAGCACCACATCCAGACAGTTTTTAAACACACCCAGGGATGGTGACTCAGCCACCTCCCTGGGGAGCCTATGCCAGAGACCCTTTCAGTTAAGAAATTTTTCTTGACATCCAGCCTAAACTTACCCTGGCACAGCTTGAGGCCATTTCCTCTCATCCTGTCATCTGTCACAAGTGAGAAGGGACCAACCCCACTCTCACTGTAAGCACCTTTCGGATATTGGAAGAGAGCAATAAGGTCTCCTTTTGGCCTCCATCCAAGCCCTTCACCAGCCTTGTTGCCCTTCTTTGGACCTGCTTCATGTCTTCTTTGGACCTTGTGTCATGTCAGCCAGGTAAAATGCTGTTGGAAGACAACCAGTCTCACCCATAATGGAAATCTTCCAGTTCAACATTGCTATGTTAAGCTTACTGCGTTGTTTCAGCCTGCAGTTAAAAAACAAAAAAAAATGCACAAACACACAGATACATGAATATTTAGAAAAATGATTTGAAAGTAAAATAAATCTATTTATCAACAAGAACTTTAGCAGTCATTCAGTACTTATTCATCCTGGTTAATGGCCTCTCCTGCAGCTGCATAACCAAAGATAAACATTGCTTGAAAAGAGGGCTCTACTGTGTCAGGCTTCTCACTGTATACATATATTTAAGCCTGCATCACAGAATGCCTAAATGATGGACATGAAAGTGGAAAAATAAGGTAAACTTTGATACTGAAAGATTCATTGGCCTTTTTCCAAAAAAAATGGTGCACGTCCTGCTGCCTTTGATGAACTCACAACAATTTAAATGTGTACTTTTTTTTAAATTTTGTAACCTCTAAGATATAGAGTGCCTTCTCATTTCCCATGAACTTCATATCCAAAAGTGTTTCATGTTCCCTGTTCCCTCAGTGTTTTCTCCACCTGACTCATCAAAGGTTTTTCATCACAGAAAAACACTGAGCAAAAGTAAAGACTAGAGAAGACTAAAAGGGCACTTGGCTCAGCATTATGCAGAGTTATAGCTACTTCTGCTGTCACACTACTGTCATCATTTTGACTACCACTCAACTACATCCACATCAGCAGACACTGGGCTGCTGTAGTCTGCACTGGAATGACAGATTTGCTTAGTTTTTCCATTGTCAAACATTCCCAATCATTCCTGGCAAAAAGCAGCAGTACTGGGACAGAGGTTCTGCTTGCTTTGTGAAACACTGTATTTTGATCTGATTTTTAGAGAATTCCTGTAGAAAGGCCAGTGCCAATGTGAACAGTGTTTTAATCGTGTTTGAGTAATTTTCTTCAATGGTGCCAACATTTATCTTAACAAAAGAGACTTGAGGAAAAGTCTGTCAACTTCTTTCATGTATCTTATTGGTGGCACACTCAGGAGGAGATCTAGCTGACCCAGTTTCCAAACCTGTGTACTCTCCATTAGATATATCCCATTTCTAAGCCAAAATGAAATATGAAAGATCCTTAATGTGCTGCTTAGACCCAGCCTTAAATAGTCAAAGTCAGATGTAAGCTGTAGCCTTCTTACTGCATTGTACAGTGTGCAGATAATTTTAGCATACAGAGGGAAACTGCATGGAAATATAACTAGAGTTCAACATTTCAGATCTTTTTTTCAAAACCTCCAGGACTTGCTATTAGTTTCAAGATCAGCCAGTCAATAGCTTGGCATTTTTCTTGCTCTCCGATACAGATACATCTAAAAATGATTATTTTTTTTTCTTTCTTGCAGAGCAGCTTGCTTGCTGAACCTCCAAGCTATGCAAGCAATATCAAAAAGCTAAAAGGAAAGGAAAAAAATGGAGAATATAATTAGTACTACTATGTCAGGCATAAAAAATCTGCACGCTATTCACACAATGATGCAGCTGGAACTTGATTACTTGCTATCACAGTGAACATAATTCAGGAACAGGGAAAAAGTTCAATGGATTTTTCTAACTGTGTGCAGGTTCCATAAGAATCTCTATCTCAACACTGTCTTTGTAATGTTTTCAAGCCCTTGCTACTCCCATAAGTTAAAAGATTCACTTGCCTGATGATACATCTTTCTGCTTGTCTTTCTTACACATTTCTGGCCCATTTCTGGCCCATTACCTCATATTTAGTCTTGTCTAACTTTGCTAGAATTACTCATGACAAACAGCAATATAATGGAGAAGATAAATGGACGTGTGGCATTCTGTGGTGTAAGAAGTGTTACCACTTAGACTGTTGATAGTTCAGTAGCACTTTGCCTGAAGAAAGAAAAATGGCTTTCCATGGAAAGGGAGGAAGGGGATAGTCCCTGATCCTTCAGAAGCTTCCACTGCAAGAGAAACAAGAGCAGATATCACAAAACTGTAAAGCTTCATGCACAGAACAGTTATCTTTCTCTTGTACAAGAGAAAACTCCTGCCTTCAATGATGGCAGTACAACCAAGCAGCTGGTTTCTTTTTCATTTTTTGGACTGCAGCAGTCTCATAGCTCATTAACTGTCTATGTCTCCTAAAGAGGATTAGGCCTCATTTCACAAAACCTCACAAAGCAGAAAAAAAGTTTTTTCACTCTAAACTGCACTCCTGCACAGGAAAGGATTTGCACTGTTCTGTTTGGAAAGCATTTCAAGCACAGATCACTCTTTGTGCTAGCTATCCTAAATTAAAGCTCTACCCCAAAGGACGTGAAGTTTAATTTTGTTCATCAGGCTGCAAGCAGACAGGATAAATACTTCTTTGTTTCTGCACACCCAGGGAGCCATCTAAACTGTATCTTGCGAGGCATTTGCACAAGATATTGAAGCTGTCAACTTCCTTTTAGAAATAAGGAGATCAAAAGAAGGATGCAGTCAAAAGGAAGCACAAGGCCAGCTCGCATCAACATTTTAATAAAATCCAGAAATCCCCAGTAGCAAAAACCCTGCTAGTCATATGCCTGTCTTTTATTCAGAAGAATAGTGACTTTACGGATTCTGTCTTTCTGACAAATTGCATGGCAATATACCACCATTCTGAAAATGTGTTTCCAGAAGTCAGTGAGCTATTTGGTGGTCACTTGATTTGGAATTACACCAAACACAAAGGAAAATCTCAAACCTGTGCTAGAAAATCCTGTGGGTGCCAGTAGAAACACTGAAAGACCTGTCATCATTCAGCAAGATTTTCTGTTCGTGACTCTGACTCCACAGCAGCCTTGGCCCCTCCCGAATACACTATGCCACATGCTGATGCACAGGGCTGCTGTGAAACATTCCTGAAAAGAAAGGGCCTCCATGTTTCCCACCTCAACCCTTCAGCAGCATCAGCAGTGGGCAGAAGCCACCAGGCCAGCCCCCGCCCAGCTGGCATGGCCACACAAAGTGCGGCCTGCTCTGAAATAAACACGGCTGCCTCCTTTGGAGAACTCCTGCTGCTCCACCAGTGCTGTCTGTGCAGACAAACTGCTCCATTGACCCAGGATACACGTTTGACTTTGAAGGATAGCATGTGAGGTGAGCTCTGAGCTTGATGTGAAAGAGTGGCCAGGCTCAGAAACCCTCAGAAGTGGAAACCAAAACCCTGAACACTGATGCCACCGCACTGTGGCTGCAAACACTTAGACAGGAGTACCTCTTTGTACACGAATCACCACAGGACAACGTGATTCCCAATCCATGCACAGAAGTATCAGTTTGTCTGCTGCATATGTTTATTAAAACCAAGCCAGCTTAGAATTTCAGAGGCAAAGCAATGTATTTATCCATCTATCAGAGAAGACACCAAGAAGCTGGCACATCACCATTTACAATTAGGTGCAGACACCTGAACTGCAAGACAGCCAAGAGGCAACAGATGTTCTCTGTCTTACAAAGAAGTTGGGGAAACCATAAACAGAGAAACATCAACAGCCTCTTGTAGGAAACACAGCGGTTTTGTAGAGTTCAGGGATTTCTGTTCTAAATCAAAACACAATAAAAGTTTTCAACAGTTTTGTTTTCTCAATGTGTCAATTAACATCCAAGTATCTTTAGCTATTTTTTTTCTCTTTTACATATGGATTTGCCACAAAATGAAGGGATTGTTAATGGAAAACACAACAAACCTTTTCTGTTTACCTTCTTTTACTCCATTTCTTTACTAATATCTGTGCACCCAGTTGTCAAACTTTTTGAGCGGCATTTCTGCTGCTGATCTTAACAGTTTGATGTCTTACGCTACATCTACAGTTGTATGAGGATGTCATGGTTCTATGTTTTTGTTTTTTTTTGTTTTTGGATTTCAGTATTCCACATCAAAATATCATGTAGTGCACGGGGCATTAAAGTGTCACTGCCCCAATCCCAGCTACCTATCCCTGTACATTACAGCAGTCACGGGATCTGGCCCTTCCGGGTGGGGGGGGCGCTCTCTTGCTGCCTTGCAGTGGGTGCTGGAGGGTGCTTTCCTGGCCGTTCCAAGCTTTTCAGGTTTGAATCGGTCCCGGGAACTCTCTCTCTCTCATCTTGTCTGATTTATTAATCTCAATTTCAATTAAATTGTATATATATTGTGTTATCTTGTATTCCAATATTATAGTAAAATAAGTTTTCCTCCATAGATTGTTGCCGCTGCTCTTTTCCTCCCTTCCTTCCTTCCCATTTTTTGTGGGACTGGGGTGGGGGGGGAGGGCAGAGGCCTGCCGCCCCTGTCACGGACATAGATTGATCTGGTCAACTCCGTGACAGAGGAAACATATAATGTCTGGTTTTTTTCTTTATTTAGCACTTGCTTATTCCAGCTTTACAGCTACCCACTCAGTCTTCTGTATACTGTTACCTAATTGAGATTCTGCTGTGTTTCATACTTTCTCAAGAAGCATCAACTCACTGTACCTTCTCCAGCTTTTGCAAAGATCCATTATCTTCTGGTGGTTGTATCTCTCTCACTGCCATATGCTTTATTTTTCTCTGCACAGTATTAGCCATTCCATAGTGGGATGTGAAGAACTGAAAACAAACCTTCCAAATGTGGCCCTACCAGCTTCCTTACGAAAGCTAATTTCCAAATCTTGTAGTTGATAAATGTACATATGCATCTCAGAATGGAGCTGATTTTACTTTAACAGATGTTAACCATTCAGCCAGAGATCATACACTTTATACACCACTACTCCTCATTCCTACTTGAAATTTAACAGCATATGGAAACAATGCTGGGTGTGTAATACGGCTCTGTAAAATAAATTTTTTTTAAACAGCAGAATAGCTAGCAAAGCTGATTATATTCTCATTTGGCTTAAAAAAAATAAAATAAAAAATGAGAGGAGAGGAGAGGAGAGGAGGGGAGGGAAGGGGAGGGGAGGGGAGGTGGAAAGAAAGGCAAGGCAAGGAAAGATGGATAAAAAGACTCAAAGACCTGCCTTTCTAGAACTGAAAAATGCCTTGAGGTCCATGCATATGATCGCATATTTGCTTGCTCCATACTGCCCTGTGATGTCTGAAAACTGATTCCTGCATGGATTTTAGCAGACATTTATCATGATTTGTTAAGCAGCAGGATCAGAATCTGTCAACAAGAAGAGCCATACTGTTTGTATATCAATACATCAACAAATATATAAATATATCCACACTTCTGGTTTTAATCAGACCGTCTTGCATAACAGCTCAATACAGAAATGGACTCAGGCTTCAGCACACAGTCCAAATACCAGCTCAGTCTCTCAGAACTCAGTCTTTTGTGGAATATTAGTGTAACAATTAAATGTAAATTGGTACAAATAAAAATATTGTTTTATTACACCAGCACCTTCAGCACTGCCATTAGAAACTGATCATCTCAACACTGAGTTCTGATGAGTGGCTGATAATCTTCAAAATGGATGGATGTGCTGATATTCAAATACCAAAAATTTATTGAGAGGAGCAGCCAGCTGAGACACATATACAAAAACAGGTAAAGATACGAGATAACGAAAATTCTTATAATTAAAGAATAAAAATAATTTTAGTCATGGTGTTAACTCTATTTTTAGTTAAAATATCTGCTTCAAACTTCTTGAACAACTTGAGAACAAAGTTTTCTTTAAAAATATCTCTCAGAGCATGCTCTTGTTGCTTTCCATGCCCATCCTTTTGCAAATATCAGTATGCTATTAATGACAATTTTTCCTTTTCCAAAGCTAGACATGAGAAAATGTTGTCAAGAATTGCAACAAGACACAGTCAATTAAAAGAGCTAGCAGACAAAGGGAGTTTGATATGGAGAACAATGGGGAATGACAGCACTAGGAAGAGGTGACTCAAAAGAAAGAACTGGCAAAAGAAACAACAGTGGAGCTGCAAATGAGTGTCAATATTCCCTAACACTGAATGGCTGATACTGTGATTCGAAGGAAGAAAACTTGAGACAGCTTGGACTCACAAGATTCCCTATAGATTTTTAAAGCTGCAGATTGTGGTCTGTAAAATTCACTAGTCCTCATCATTTCAGAGGCAGTACAGCTCCTTCTAATACCCTTAGAAAGTGTGCCACACGTATTTTAATTTTCAGTAATCATAACTATGCAGTGCAAACTCTGTTACCAGTTTTGGCTATACCCACAACTGCTGGTGCAAGTCATCGCAGTTTGTGAAGGGAAGCAATTCTATAAATCTCATTTCCATGCACAATATACTTAGCATTAATTTCCTTACTGTGCCTTTGGATTATCATTTAATTTGTATCTTTTAATATATATTTTATTTAAAAATATGGAGAGGATAAATAAATATACAAGAAAAGGATACCCCGCCAGTTGGACCACCCAAGTCATCAGCATCTTTAGTCCGAGACATATACAGTAAAACTGCACTAGTAAAGTCATTCTCATACGAACTGAATGAACAGAAGGGTCAAACAGTATTTGCATTTTGAATTAATGAGTTTTAAATCTGACCTTGATCTTTTGGTTCCTTTGGGAGGATTTGAATTTTTAATGAAAAAAAAAAACCTTACAATGCCATGGAAAAAAAAGTCTCAAACATATTGTCTAATGATATCTGACTATTAACCATCCTTTTATGATTAATTTATTAAATAGCTTTGTTCCTTTTGCTGTACATTCATCTGTTTTAAGAAGAATATTCTCTGAAGGCAAATTTTACACTGCACAGAGGACAGAAACTGGAAGCAGAAAGGGCACTTAAAATGATAAGAAATTTCCAACAGGAGCTCAGTTCCCAAAGTAGCAATGAAATGTACTGTATAAAATGTATCATATGAAAAAACATAGGATATTATCAAAATAAAGGTAAATGCACGTGTCCTTCCAACTCTAGATATTTACTTATCCTACTGAATACTGTACAGATCTATCCCTACATATAAATAGACATAGACACACATAATATAAAATATGAAGTCATAATAAAAAGAAGTAATGTGATATTTGGTATCTCAAGGGGCGTATGAAGTGTGCCTCGGATACCCACCAGAAAAGAATCGTTTTGCATGCATCTATATGTTTTTATGCAAATATGATTGCCTATGTTTTCATTACATTCTGCATGTATTGTACTTTATACTGTCTCCACCTTGACTAAATTAAATGCAAAAGGATAAGTGAAGAATATTCTTGGGAGATCAGAATGTGCTTTTCTTTAATGTTTTGTTTCTCCTCTCCCTTTGCCAATGGAAAGGCCCTTGTGCACACGAACAAGCTCATCCTGTCCCCTCTCAGGCTCAATCACTGCATTTTGCACAGGGTAAGGCAGGCACGAGGCGACTCATGTCCTCTTCTGCTGAGGTTCGCACTGGAGAGCAGAGGAGTTGCCTCTAGCTCCAACAGTCCCACAAACACCAGTGGGTCATGCCAGTGATCCAAGAACTGATGCAGCTCAACTGTAATATACAGTGACCTCTCCTGTGATGCCAGTGGCCTGAGGCATATGAATGCACCCATGTTTAATGTGCTGTCAGGTCGTAAACATTCATGCTGGTAACAAAAAAAAAATTCTGCAGAATTTAGTGTGATCATGTTGGATATGCAATACAATGTTGTAAGAAAAAAAAATAGTCCATTACAAGCCTTATACTCTTGGGTGTATTTTCTTGAATGCCTTCCCAGTCCCTGTTGATTTACTCATAATGTTTTTTTTTTTTTCTGCAAGAACTGTAGTGCAAGGCAATAACATATTTCCTTAATCTCACATGCTGTCCAACTGGGAGCTTTTCCAGCTGAAGCTCTGAGCTCAGGGGAGTGCTTAATTACAGACAAGAGCCTAGTTACAAAAAGAAACGGAAACAAATTGACAAATGCTTTTTTATACAGTGTGCTTTCAGGAAATATTTTGTATTTTTTTATCGTTACTCTTCAACCTATGTTTGGTTTTAAGATAAATCATTATGGTTATGTCTGGACTTTCTTCTACCAAGTAACTCCTAGTGCTCAAGCAGCAACTGCAGCAGGACAGCAAGTAAAACAGTTAACAAGAATATCTGTCATTCACTGCTCTTTGACAAAAATTCCTCTGTAATGGTAAATGAACAAGCTCCAGTGACTGGAAGCTCTGTTCGTTGGAATATTTCCAAGCAGGAAAACTCCTGTTTCAATGCTATTATGTCAACAACAGGCTTCAGGGCCTCCAATGGCCTCTGAAGCAAACAAGAATCTATTACTGTAACACTGAAAATGGCAGAAGAGACAAAAACGAAAGGAGGCATTCCACTTGTGCATCTAGATCATTGATTAAAATGTTGAACTGAACTGCAGTTAAGCTCTGGAAAGCATCAGCCAGCCAGATGTATATTCACTCTGTACAGAGCATTGAGCCAGTTCATCACTGAGCACAGTGTGTACCTTCTCATCTCACAATTGCACAATTTGTCCAGAAGGGTGCTGTGAAGGAAGGTACTGAAAGCCTTACTAAAATCTTGACAGATTACATCCACCGAATTCCATTCACCTGCCATGCAGATGACCTTATCAGAGAAGATCACTTTGCTATGGCAAGATGCCTCCTTCATAGCTTTGTTTATTAACAGACTCCCAATGTCCAACTGAATAATACTCCAAAACCTTTCCTGGGGCTGTGGTTATACTGTGTCTCAGGTATTTTCTCGTGCCCTTCTTGTAGATGAGTGTAACACTGGTTAGCTTGTAGTGAGCATACTCCTTTGACAAATTGTAGAGAGGGGTCCAGCTATAATATCTGCTATAGAGGAGATTGCTACAGCATTCAGCACTCTGGGTGAATCCTGTCAGGCCACAGACTTAAGAACATTCAGCTAATACCAACTGGTCCTTTACAGATTTTGTGATCACAAATTTCTGAAGTGAATGCTCCCACTTAGATATAGTCTTCCATCTCAAAGGAATGAATAGCCCTCATCCCTACTTCTTAAGTGAACATCGTCATTAATTGTCAGTCCAAAGTTTTCTTCAGACCTCTTCTTGCTGTTGACGTACTCGGAAAAGCCTTTACTGTTGTCTGGCAGCACACCACCCACACTACTCAGTGTCAACTCTGGCTTTTCTCTTTTTCTCCCTACAGACGTGAACTGCAGTAAGTACAGTAGTACTGTTTGTCCTGTATCATAGGTAACCTAAATCCTGTAGTCTCTTGACCACCTCTGCCTCCAGTCTCACGTTACAGAGACATATGCATGATTGAGTTAGGATCTCTAAGGTTATATCCTCAAAACAAAGTCAGTCCTTTGTGTCTGACACACAGTTGTGAGATCTGAGCTCAAAAAACAAACAAACAAAACACACACACACATAAAAGCCCACAAAGCAAAGAATGACTAAAAACTAGCCACACACCTGCAATGGTGTGGAGGATTCTCCTTTAACAACACTACAAGGCTCATCATCCATCATGTCTTTTTCTCCAGTCAGGTTCCCTTTGAAAACATTTTGTATTGCAATCTGTTGGCTGGCTTTTAAGCTCTCAAATCACATTAATTCTAACTAATCAGAGAGCACTTTGTAATTTTTAAGAGTTTATTTCCAGTTGCGTACCATCTTGCATGGCTGCTGGAAAGAATAAAGAAATGGATGATTAGCCATCTTCCTGGTAACATAAGAGCGCTGATGAATGGTAGTGTTGAAATAAATATGGAAGGAAGAAAGAGTAATGCACTGACTTTTATTTACAGTATAAATTCTTTAAAAGAAAAGTAAGATTGATGTTGGCTTTCTCTTATCCTACTTCACAAATTACACTATTAATTCTCTCTATATTTTTCCCTCCACAACAATTTCACCAGCGATAATGAACGTAAGCCTTTCAACAGACATCACAAATGTTGAAGTGTTGGCTTGAAGTGTTGGCTTGAGTTGTTCATGAAAATACATTTTTTGTTTTGCTACAAAGTAAAGATTGTAAGATACCATCTGGAATTCTAAGGTGTGTTATCCACAACATATCTGGTTAGGTAAAATGAAAGCTAGTAATTCCTACATGCTGGCCTTTCAACACTTCACTCCAATTTTAAGGCGGCATTTGACTGTAGAATTGTGTAAGTGAAACGTGTTTGTAAAGTTTCAAATGGAGTTCTTAGATGTGCAAAGTGTTTTGGTGTCATCCATGGGCACTGTCTTCAAGACAGTTCGTTGAATAAAGCCTGAGATGTTATAAATAACATAGGAAGACCAGCTGCATTTTCAACTGTCAGGAATTCTGTCGCTTTCCTTAGATAAAATACCATTAGGTTGGTTGCATCAGACAGCACACCACTTGTGAAAATATGCCATGAAAGTTGCCTGAGAGTACCTCAGACACAAATTACTTTGTTAAGCAAGTTAATACAGGTTTTAATTGACAATAACTTCAAATCAATCTCATATCTTATTTTTTCTTGAAAATTCATAAAAGTAACAGTGAATTATGAGACAGACATCAAAATAATTAGGTAAGGAAGAAAAATAATCAGTCGTTTTAGTTGGAAACAAACAGTTTTAACAATGGAAGAGTAAGGAGATTTGGATTTTATATGCACATCTGATAAGAAGTCTGCAAGTGAGTTTCAAAGAACATTCATAGGCCCAGGAAAATGAAAGGTAGTAGCATCTCAGAGCAAATAATGAGCTCAGACACTGTCAGCAAGGTTTCACTGAAGACTCTTAGAACCTCTGTCACCTTCTTTCAATAGTAAGTGAATTCTAGGTATGAAGAGCAGTAAAAGGAAATCACCACTTTTCTGTAATTGGAGAGACAGAGGAAACTCTTGTCAGCTTCTGTGCTTTTAATTAAAGCCCATAAAAAGGAGTTTTAGAATGAAATGTGTGTGATTATGTGATTATGAGAAACTTACAGATCTGCAGTACTTTTAATACATCATCTTTGTGAGAGAACAGCTCATTTGCTCTTTGAGGCTCTAGAAGCAACAGCGGATGACAATGGATAAAAATTGGAAGACTTTTAGTTTGCAAGGATAATTTTAGAAGTTCCTGTCATCCTTACAAATTTACAAATTTATGAGTCTTGTTTAGAAAGATCACTTGGACACTACTAGTATTTGAATTCATGAATTACAAAAAGACATCAGAAAATACAGAAGTACTCACACATACATGGATTTTATTTAATTTCACAGGAATAAATCAGGGAAACTGGATATTTGTGAGATTTTGTCAGCAGTTTTAGTTAGCTTTGGACCACACCATGCTAAAATGCACCCAGAAGAGAATTTTTTTAGCTTAAAAAATATTATAAATCTCTAAAATTATGGTTTCACGATGGATATCATGACAGACCCTCAAATACAGCAGCAAGATCAAGAGATTTTATAATAGTTATTAATTATAAATAAAATCCTTAGAAAATATAATTGTGAAGTGAGATACGGCTCCCTACCTACAAACACTCCTTTCTTTCAGGGGAATGTTGACAGCAATGTGAAGATTAATCCTGAATTAGCAAAGAAACAGCCAGACTTGCTCCATGATGCAGTAGGATAGCATGTACTCTTGCAATCTGCTACAGTGAGCTCAGTGGCAGTGTAGTTCTGTCAGCTGCACTTCGGCATTGTGCAGGATGAAGGCTGCCTGTGCAGCATGGGACTGCTTGACTGCCAGCATCCATCAGTCTTCCTGCTGATGCTGAACTGGGTCATTCTAGTTTTTGTCTGTGCATGCTCATATCACTTGCAGGCTATTTCTGAGCATCCCAAAAAGCCAGTAGCATAGAAGTGCTGGGTTTGTATTGTTATTTTGTTGTTATTGTTGTTTGGTGTTTTTGTTTTTTTTTTTTTAAACAAAATTGAATATATTGCATTTAAATGGTGCTTGTTTTCTTTAACTACCTAACAATATACCTTCCCCATAGCAGGTTTGTTTTTTTTTTTTTTCCCTATGAATACATTACTTTTTGTGGTAGCTGCCATTCTTTGTAAAGACACAGGCTGGCAAACATGCTTACATAACAAGATGTGTCACTTTAGGCTGAAAG